CCCCGACCCACGTGCAGGACCTTGCCCTTCTCCTTGTTGAACTCCATGAGGTTCGCACGGTCCCACCACTCCAGCCTGTCCAGGTCCCTCTGGATGGCATCCCTTCCCTCCAGCGTGTCCACCACACAGCTTGGTGTCACAGAGTTTGGTTCTTTAAAATTGTTTTCTTAAGCGATAAGAACAAACAAAACTTTCCTTCTTAGCAATGAAACTTTAAATGGGAATTGATGCCAAGCCTTTTATCCCAATGGGTATATTCAGTTCCTAAAGGCTTTGTGTCCCTTTTTCCTCTCATGCTGCAGTTGTTGGTGTCTTTATAGGTTGCAGCAAATGGATCTTTTGTGTTCCTAGGAGAAATTGATTTTTTTTGTGATCACTTCTTGATGATCTCAGTAGTTTTCTTAGGATTTTTGATCTCTCCTTGCACTGAAGGCTTCCTGCCTTACTTCTTTGCTAGAAATTTCTCCCAGCAGAGAACACACACAGGTGTTCCCAGGGAAGGTGCGATCCTTCCTCTCAGGAGGAATTCACCCGAGCACAGCAGGCAGGATGAGGCAGACTGCAGACAGCCTTCCTGCTTGCAACCGCACCTTGCTGAGCAGAACACGATGTGTGATAAGTGTGCTGTGAATGAACAAAGCTCCTGTACACTCTGTTGAAAGTTGGAGTAAGTTGCTCAATATGATTATCTAACAGGGAAGTAATTTCGCATGGATTGATGTCATAAATAATTTTAATTAAAAACAGTGCAATCTCTGAGTCTAAACAAGGCTTTAATTTCACTAATGCATCTACAGTGCTTTTAAGATTCTTGATGAAAAGCACTCTACATGTATAAATTATCTTTTGCTAATGGCTGATGTTACTCACAGAACCTTCTAAAGGGTGGATGCTGGCAGCAGAAGTAATAACTGTTTTACATGATACCGCATACATTTTATTAACTGTACTCTTAACTATGATAATAAAAGCTTTTTGGTTTTCTTCTTACAGTGTAAAGAACTTGCCAAGTCCAAGGCAGAAGTGGCCTGTATTGCTGTCTATGAAACAGATGTGCTTGTCGTTGGAACTGAGAGAGGAAGAGCCTTTGTCAATTCTAGGAAAGATTTTCAGAAGGCTTTTGTTAAATACTGTAAGTTTCAAAGTTGTATTTTTGTATTTCACAAGCTGCTTAGTGTGTATTGCATTATACTAATAACTGGGGAGCAAAGTTCTGTATGTTCATGACTACATGCTATAATTACTTGGCTATGGCAAAACCAGCTGTTTAAGAACATAAAGATCAGTAACAGCGGTCTTGTTTGGAGTGTTATTTCAACTGTGGCTAGAAATATTTTTTTTTCTTAGATAATGTGACAGAGTAATACAATAAGAAATATTAGACTATTTACCCTCAAAACATGAGCTACATTTCCCAGTGCATGTTCATTTTTCTTTATCTGCTCCTCCAAGTCTTTTTTTCCGCTGGTGAAGGCTGGGCAGGACATTGAACAGGTAGTGGGCTACTTCTGCCAGCTCGGATGGTCCTGGTTCTTCAGATCACTTCATGCCTTATTCATGCAGATGCACATTTTTAACACGATACTATTTTTTTATATAGCTTCTTTATATCATTGTTATTTAGTGGACAAATATGTATCTATGCCATAATTACTTAAAAATAAATCTGCATTATGTTTGTACTCCATTAAGCACATCTAGGGTGCAGGGTATTGTTTAATTTCATTTTTATAGTAAAACAGTGGAAGTTTTGTGTTCATAAAACACGATCTGTTGAGTACAGGACAGGATTTTTAGGAGTTAGGTTTCAAAGATTCAGTGACTCTGGGGGAGCATTGATGTGCTCATTTAGGAAAGTGTTTTGGATGGACACTGCTTAATCAATAACCAAATGTTCCTTTACCTGCCAAGGGAAAGGGAGAAGGTGCAGGTCAAGAGCAGGGTACAAGAGAAGAATCAGTCTGGGGAGGAGTTCAGAAGCAACAGCTGTAAAATGTTCTGTCTTGACTGATCAAATACTGCTTGGAAAGCAACCATGTTTAATCAGTAACAGAAACGTTTGCTCCTAAAAATGCTTTTGCTGCTAGCTGAGGTTCTCCTGGAGGTTTTGTCTCGAGGTCATTTGTTTGGAGTGGGGCTCTGGATTTTTGCCACTGGCCTACTTGGTCAGTGACTTTCTGGGTGCATTATTTAAGGAAAGTCACCACAATGTTGCATTGTAGCAGGTAACCAATATCAAAATGCAGAATTGTGAGCTCACTGAGGAATCAAGTATAAAAGGAATCAATTTCTTTTTTATTTTTTACAGGGGCAGTCTTCTGATACTGGTATTTACAAAAACAGTTAGCTGAAAAACGGGTGTGAGTTCAGTTTTTTCACCTGATTTTATTTTTGTTCCTTAAAGAGCTTCCCTGAGGTCCTAAGTACTTTGTTTTATTGCCAGTACAGTGGTATAATGGGCCTGGATATACTGGAGAGTTTGTATACTGGGCATGTCTATTGGTAGGGAGGCTGAAATGACTGGGATTTGATGCTTCATCTGCTGGCTAGATCTGTATCTCTGGTTCCACACCGTGGGAAGCACTGCTTCCCATCCATGCTTGTGTTCGACTGGGAGATGTTTCTATAGATCCCTGCGTGTGTTTAAATCTTACACTTAGTTCTGTTAGTCCTGAGCCTTTGCTTTATTCCAGTTACCAGACACTTGTTCTTGAGCAGTGTTTTTGTACTGTCAGGCAGATGAGATTAAGAACAGTATCGGCTTTGAAAACAGCGTTTTCCTTACGCTTGCTGCAGAACACCGTGGTGTAGGTCTGTGAATAAAGCCAGCTGACGTCGGCCATCGCTTTCATGGGTTCACCCTGCACTTTCTGGGGACTTCTGATGCTGGAGGTAGTTTTCTCCTGTTGCTGACAGAGATGTTGATAATTCTGGAAAACCTGACTTCAGAACACCGGTTTTAAGAATAATGGCATTGCATATTGCTGGCGGCGCAGATTCCATCACTGCCTTTGACAACTTGGGAGTCCGGATGAAGTTTGTAGTGTAATATCTTTTGATCTAAAACTTTAGAACTGTGGAGGCAACGGTTCCTTTCCCCTCGCACCTTGTTTCCTTGGTTAAATATGAAAGCTAGCAGTAGATGATGTTAGTTCAGTTTTAGTAGGTGTTTTGGAAAAATCCAGGAAGGCCACAGGTCTGTGTGTTTTTAATGAGTTAGAGCTGGGCCCTTTTTGTTCCTTTATGATTCAAAAAGGCTTCCAAAGGATTCTTACATTGCTCTTGGAGTTAAACCTTTAAAAATTCAGCTGTGGTGCCAGTCGCTGGAGCACATGGTGCTGACAGTACTGAGAATCAGTTCTCCACTTGTGTGGGTCTCTTCATTTTTCTCTAAGTATGGAAACAGACGTGTAGTT